GGGGCTGATTTCAGGTAAAGGAATGCAGCTTGCGAGGGCAGCTAATTCAGTTCCATCAAAGTCGTCACAAACAACAACAGGGAGAGGAGCAATAATGGACTCCGTATTATTTGTTTCTACATACATGAAGCATAGATGGAGTAGATAAGTAGAATCATCTCATGAATCTCTCTCCGATACTGCCTCAAATGAGCTTTTTTGGGGTCATATTGTTTGTTCCTTTGCATTTTCAAAGAGGAGGTCTTTTTTGGCTTTTGGTTTGTTATGGTATTGTATGCACCCCCATAACAAGCAATATTACACTGTAATAAAAATCACCAATTGGAGAGTTTTGTCATGGCAATTTATGACGTGTATATTATGCGGTCACTGTGCAGTTACACCACAGCAGAACTGAATTATCTGGGACAATTTCAGACAATGCATGCATGAATTGCAGGACAGTTTTCTCAGCAATATAGTTGCTCATTAAATGATGTACACCACTCTTTCTCCCAGTACTCTAAAATCCCAGCTATCAGTCAGTTCCACGCTTCCAGTTTGAAAGATAACATACAAGTAATAAACATAAAGAGCAAACCAGCCTGAAGCTTCTAACAATACCGTTTTCCAATTTCACAAACTCAATCAGGTAAAGAGTACTAATCTAGATGTCTCCCTCTCTTAGCCAAAACTTCAAAAAGGAAAAAATAATAATAATCATGAAATACGGTTTCATGCTAGCTTCAAGTATGGCTTTAAGTGGAACAGCAACCTTTCTTCGTGTTCCCCGAGGCATCAGCAACATTGATAGTGGTTCCTTGACCAGGAACTGTAGAATTGACAGCTACTTCCTGAGCTGCTAATGTCTTCTTGCTAATAATATGGTAGATCTCTGTCAAAATGGTTTGGAACGCCTTCTCAATATTGGTGGCTTCTAGAGCTGATGTCTCAAGAAATGAGAGACCTTCCTTCTCAGCCAAGGCATGGCCATCCTCCTCTTGAACAGCCCTAAGATGATTCAAGTCAGACTTGTTTCCAGCCATCGTGATAACAATGTTTGAGTCTGCATGGTCTCTTAATTCACGAAGCCATCTCTGTACATTGTCAAAAGTCTGCCTCTTTGTTATGTCATAAACAAGAAAAGCACCAACAGCTCCTCTATAATAAGCACTAGTGATAGCTCGGTACCGCTCCTGACCTGCTGTATCCCAAATCTGTGCTTTTACCGTCTTCCCATCCACCTTCACCAAAAGGAAAATAAAATAAAATAAAATAATGATCAGGTAGCCGTTTTAGTGTTCGATTGGAGGCAACGAACATCAGTTAATTAAATGCCCCGGTAGCATACAAAAGATTTAGAAGCTTAAATCATATAATGAGGCTTAGACACAATGTGTAAACAGCAGATATTGAATGGGCTACGAAAGGGGGAGCTTTGAGTTATAATGGTATGGTGAGCAAATAGTTTTGCGCAAGGTTCCATTTCATCATCATCAAACAAGCGGAGGGAAGGGAACTAGAATAACTTAATGTATTCTATCTAATAGGAATCCAACAAGGAGTAAACTAAGTATCAAACGGGGATGGGATCGTCGTTAATAGTTTTGGGTTTGGAAGAGCTAACAATGAAACTATTAGCATGAATAGATAAGATAACATATGACTAACAAATGGATGGAAAGAAAGAATAATAGCAGAAGAAATCAATCAAAAAGCGAAACAACAAATAATAATAATAAAAAACCCTCAAGATATGAGTCATGTCTGTGCCTTTTCTTTTTTGTAAAAAAATAAAACAAAATACAGTAATATGTATTTATGAAATTAATAATAAAAGAAAATGAAGAAATAATTGAGAGCAGAGCATAGGAAAAGAGTAAAGGAAAATACTTGGAGAGTTCTGGTGGCAAACTCAACACCGATGGTGGACTTGGATTCCAGGCAGAATTCATTTCTGGTAAACCTGGAAAGAATATTGGATTTGCCAACACCAGAGTCCCCGATCAGCACGATCTTAAAGAGATAATCATACTCATGATCTACTCTATGAGCCATTTTTTCTTCTTCTTTATTTTAATAATAGCAGCACCAATACTCTCTCCTCAGATCTCTCTAAACTGCCAGATCCAACAACCAAATTCACTCCTTCAGTCTTACATCAGATAATCAGTCAATCAATCATACAAAACAAAACAAAACAAAAACAAACAGATCTATCTTCTATCTATCTATCTATCCCGAAAGAAAGATTAAAAACAACTCACCCTCTGAATGAGGAGGGCAATCGATCGAGAAGAGAAATGTCCTCCCTTTTATTATGAATTTATGTACGTGGAGTATATATACTTGCGCAGCAACCTTTTCTTTTTATATAATTTCGACGGAATTTTCTGTAAAGAATTATATATATATATAAGAATTGGGAGAGAGCGGAAAAAACAAGGACGGGGAGGGGAGGAGAAAAGGGTTTGAAACGGCCCAATAAATACAAGGGTTTTTTTGGGAGACCATTTTATTTATTTAGGAAACTAAAATAAAATGTAATGCTCTGTGTCTGTCTCTACTACTTCGAACGTGTAAGCGACGTGCCGTTTGTTATTGTTATTGTTAGTATTTAGGGGAAAAAAGGACAGGATGATGGTGACCAATGAAAAGAAAAGAAAAGAAAAGAAAAGGAGGTCAAATAACAATAATGGTGGGAGATGGGTGGCAATGGCAGCCTGGCTGACACTGGCGGAGGCAGGCAGTGGCTGTTTAGTGATTTCCACGCCCACTTCTTTATTCGGATTTGGTGGAGGCCGGAGGGAGAATCATATTGCTGAGCTCTTTTTTAAAACACACAGAGGGTATGTATGTACGTAAGTATTGGGTTCAACAAATTCAATGGCTCACAGATAACACACGTATTAAATAAAACTATTGTTATTGGGCCTGGGCTTTTGTCTCACCTTCATAAAAATAAATAAAGACAGGTTTGGGCTTGGTCCGGCCGCCTCCCGGGTTGTTTTCTGCTGCGTCTTTTCTTTTATTTATTTAATAAGGAAGAAGAAACACACAAATCATTCTGTGCTTGTCCTGTGTCTTTGAACAAGAAGAAGAGTTGCAGAGAGAAATACTGACCGGACGATGGCTTTGAAGTTTTTGAACAAGAAGGGATGGCACACGGGGAGCCTTAGGAACATAGAGAACGTGTGGAAAGCTGAGCAGAAGCATGACGCCGAACAGAAGAAGTTGGAGGAGCTCCGCAAACAGATTCAAGATGAGCGTGAGCGTTCTGAGTTTCGTCTTCTCCAGGAGCAAGCTGGTCTTGTCCCGTAAGAATCTCCTTTTTACATTTCTTCCCTTCAATTCCATTAACTAATCAAACTACTAGGGTTAGGGTTAGCAATTAATCGCTTATTCATTATTATTCAATCGTGCCAGTAAGCTGGTCCTTTTCTTTTCTTCAAATTCAATTCAAATAAAATCAACTAACCAACCAATGGTACTACTGGGGTTAGTAGGATTAGGGTTAGGGTCTTATTACTTAATTGATGATTCAAATGTGGCAGGAAACAGGAAAGGTTGGAATTTCTTTATGATTCGGGATTAGCAGTTGGCAAGACCAGTGGCAGTTCCAGCGGAGGGGGGGTTGGAGTTGCTTTCAAGGCTCTTGAAGAATCCATTCCCGGCAGCAGCAGCAACAACAACAACGCGCCATCCTCTTCTGCCCAGCAGTCGTCTGCCCCTGGAGCCTTATTCGAGGACAAGCCTCACTCTTCCAATGACGCTTGGAGGAAACTCCATTCCGATCCTCTCCTTTTGATTCGCCAGCGAGAACAAGAAGCCCTTGCCCGTGTTAAGAACAACCCCATTCAAATGGCAATGATTCGCAAATCTGTAAGCTTGCTTCTCTGTTTTTTTCCTTTTTCTCTTTTTTTGATGAATAACAATTTTCAATGAATGGCTTCCTTATCTTTGTTTTCTCCATCTATGTAATTGATCATGCATTCCCATTTTGTAATGTAGAACTGTCTGTTAGGTTTTGTGAAAATACGTTGTTAGATATGAAATTGATGGTGAATAGCTAGTTCTATCAACTGTTAAACTTAAATCTCATGGTAGTGTAGTACCTTTGGTACCTTAGATGTATCCTTGGCTCATAACCTGGTGACATCAACATTCCCATCAGACATGCATACTTTTATTTTTTTAATATTAGCTGAAACATTCTATTTACATGCTGAGGGGAAAGAAGATCGATATCATTGGAGAATCTCAAACTTTTTATTGCAAATAACCAGTTTTGTGCACTTGCTGAACCAATGATTACTTTTTTGTAGGTTGAAACAAGTAAAGAGAAGGAGATGAACCATGATAGAAAGGAACATCAAAAGAAGCACAGTCATAGTAAAGGAAAGCATCACAAGCATTCATCAAAACTGCAATCTGATTCTGAAAATGTCTGTGGTGAAGGGGAAAGATGGAGAAAGACTAGTGATCACAAGCATTCATCTTCCAAACAACAATCTGATTCAGAAGATGTCAGAGTTGAAGGGGAAAAGAGGAGAAAAACTAGTGATAGAAGGAGTTCAAAGTATGATGAGCATCATTATAAAGCACAAGTTGATTCAGATGGTGAGTCAAGTGAAAGAGAAAACCAGAGAGGAAGGAATAGCTATCGGGGTTCAAAATACAGAGAACGATCTCACAGAGAGCAATCTCCTCGTGGGTATTCACACCCAAAAGCTGGAAAAAGTGATGGTCAGGATACTCACAGGAAGAATCATGGCAAGTCAATGAATGAGAGGTATTCATTGGAAGGCAGGACAGATTTTGATGCTGATAGAAAGGGAAGGGATGCAAACAGTTCTCGCGAAGCAAGGTCTTATGCTTCTTCCGAGTCTGTTCGCTATGATTCAAACTATAAACGCCGAAATGTCGCATCTAAACTGACAGAAGAAGAGCGACTTGCTAAGCTACGGGAGATGCAAGTTGATGCTGAGTTGCATGAGGAGCAAAGATGGAAACGTTTGAGGAAGGCAGAGGAAGATGATGCACGAGAAGCTACTCATACAAGCATGTTGGGTGGCAGGAATTTCCTAGATGCTGCTCATAAAAGTGTGTATGGAGCTGAGAAGGGGGGGAGCTCAACCATTGAGGAGAGCGTCCGTCGTCGTGCACATTATTCACAAGGAAGGACTGAAGTCGGTGATGGCAATGCTTTTCGCCGATGAAGCACTTCAACCTTGGTTTTTTCCTTTCTTGTAGTTCCAGACGTGTTCCTCACCTTTCCATGCATGTGCGCCTGTTCCATAATATCGACCTCCCTCCCACCTACCTTTGTCAAACTGTCTTGTAAAAGTAAGTGATTGATTCAAATAGCTATTGATTTGATGTATGTCCTTGGAACTCTCAGCAACATCTTAAATGGTTGATATTATATCCAATTGAACACTTTATTATTTTGAAGATTTTCTAGAATTCACTAAATTATCTGGAAAACAAAATGCTG